GCCAGTAGTCACCAACGACTGCTCCAACATGGGAACCTTGAGATTATCCAGCTTCTCAACAATGCCAATCTAATAAGAAGACTCGAGAGAACCAAGCCTTTATTTTAGTTAGTTAAGTGATGTTAAAGCAGAGTATAGTGCAGTTAAGTGTTATATGTTAATGATAGTGTAACTAAATAATTAGACTCTAAAGTCTAAGGTATACTAGTGAGTAGAATATTAGTTTATGAAGTTTTTCATCCCTTGATAAGTTAGATTAGAATAAAATTGCTAATTGATCTTAATGATCAGATTGTAATAATCGTAAATGTTTCTTTACTTGGAGCATTTATTAAAAAAAGCTATTTGTTTCAGATTAGTGCATTTAAAAAATTTGTGGAAATGAAGCGATTCGCCTTTATACTTTATGAAATAATGTTTAAAAATTATTTGTTTAAGAATCAATGTTTGAGTTCTGTGTATTTTAAATAAACATGTATATAAATGTTTTTTTTTGTTTAATAATATTTTAGAAAAAAAAAGCTAGTATACATTTCTGAAATATTACTATTTAATATTTCTAAAAGGTTTCAAATTTTTATTTCAGAAATATTACTGTGAAATATTAGATTTACATGACATTTTTACGTTTCAGACACATTTCAGAAATGTTTCTGGAAGGTTTCGTAATATTTATACATTACAAATGTTTCAATGTAATATTTTTGAAATATTTCCGAAATATATTTGTGCTGTATGGGAAAGTACCCCCCAGAGGTTCCGACTGCCAAAAATCTAATCAGTTTACTGCAGACCAGAATATAGGATAACTTTAAAATTTGGTGTTGTTCTCTATATCCGTTTTAGAGTTTTCTTCAAAATTCGTAATTTACACGTTTTCTCAAATATCTCGAATACGGTTCATTTTACATAAATTATGTATGAAACAAGAATTATTGAAAATAATATAACAAACAACTTTTATTTAAACAATTTCCTTAAAAATTTGAATTTTTTCCATTTTATAAAATTTCTCGAATACGGACCATTTTAGAAAAATATTGTATGGGACCCACACGCGCACACACACGCACACACACGCGCACCCACACGCGCACACACGCACACACCCACACACTCTCACTCTTACTCTCTCTCACTCACACTGTACTCACATTCATACTCATACTCATACTTATACTCATACTCATACCCATACTCATACTCATACTCATACTCATACTCATACTCATACTCATACTCATACTCATACTCATACTCATACTCATACTCATACTCATACTCATACTCATACTCATACTCATACTCATACTCATACTCATACTCATACTCATACTCATACTCATACTCATACTCATACTCATACTCATACTCATACTCATACTCATACTCATACTCATACTCATACTCATACTCATACTCATACTCATACTCATACTCATACTCATACTCATACTCATACTCATACTCATACTCATACTCATACTCATACTCATACTCATACTCATACTCATACTCACATTCACACTCACATACTCATTTACTCACTCACTCACTAACTCATTTTGATAATTGTTGATTTGTCAAATTATTATATGAAACAAAAATCTTGATTTCCCAACTTTTACTTTGCACTCCTTCATTTTAAAATTTTAATTTTTTAATTGTCAAATTTGTTTTTCATGAAACGTACATTTACTAAAAGTTACCAAGTAGTTTTATCAAAAAGGCCCAAGTCATTATAATAGAAAATAGGAAATGAAATGTTTCCTCGTTTTTCTATCAACATACATTTTGTGGAAATAATTCAATAACTAAATAATCATATTATCCATTTTATTTTAATAGTCCAATTAAATAACGAAAAAAAGCCCCGTTCGAGCTTACATTAATTTGTAATTGGATGAAACAAAAAGGACCTTGTGTATTTTGATGTGATCTTTCCGAAAAAAGATGTAGCAGTTTTTCAATTTTTTTTAATTAGGAAAAACCGGGTTTTCCGGAATTTTCCATTGTAAAAATGCTAATTATCTGGGCAAGTATCATTCCGATAGTGAAAATAAATGCACCATTCGAAAGAGGAGGCAAAAATAGTTCGGAAATTCATTGCACAGGTAGTTTTAATGGCGAATTTCTCGCCGCCAGAAGTGCTTTTACCAAAAAGTCGTTTTTTCGTTTTTTTGATCAGAACCATGGACATGAAGTTTGCGATGAATTTGTGGCGAAATTATAAATGTTAGACATATGTGCCCATGAGAGAAGTTGCGTATTTTTTTGTTGGCTCTCAAATAAAATAAGTCCCGCGGCGAAATCTGCTATAATTTTTCGGGAATTCGCAGGAAATCGGAAGGCGTAGTTTTTTTAAATTTTTTTCCCATATGATTTTTTCAGGGGTTTTCCGAAAACATCTAACAAAAAAAATATATTTGAAAAATCTAACTTCGCCATCGAAAAAAGCACAAAAAAATACACAAAAAGGTATACTTTAAAAATGTTAGGAAATTAATCCTAAGCCTGAGTGTAACTTCCAACTTGGTGATAAGCTTGCTTTTTGTTCTCTAATATCTGGTTTTTAGTTATTTACAAGAAAAATTGAAATGGGAGAAGATATATATGCATGACAAAAATACGTATTTTCTAGTTACGTTCCGAACTTTTTGAAAAAAATTGCAAAACAATTTTTTCTTAATTTCTCGTACTTTTTTCTTAATTAACTCGAAAACTAATTATCTGAATAGAAAAAAGTTTCCATCAGATGATAGAGAAAAAAAAAGACACGAAAAACTGTGGCATATACATTTTTTCTAGCATCCACTGTTTTCTGAGCGCACGTGTGCAAAGATCGGTAATTCTCGCGAGAATTGAAGCTACTCGAATTTTCTGGCAATTGGGAGAGAAAGTAAGCTTGTTTCTCATTAAACTTACTGATTATAATATCTTTTCAGTCTGTAAAGTGCCCAAATTACGGAAAAAATAGACAGTGTGCTTGTTTTTTCTCAAAAAAAAAGGGAAAATGTTGGATACAAGAAAAAACCACTCGTTTTACGAGCAATTTTCTAAGCACAAAAAATGCGTAGTTTTCGGTTATATTTCGAATGTCATAGGTCGCATTGCAAATCTGCAATAGTTCACCCTCTGCAAGTGTATGATGACATAATAAACACAGGCCAGCCATTGCAACCTGGAAACAAAAAAATTATAGCACTGTGATAGAATTTTCTTAATTTAGGAACGTACTTAATCAATAAATTGCTGAAGAAGTTCGAAAAGCCACGTGTACACAGAGCTTGCTGAACACGGTTATTAAAAATCTATGCCTATGAACACTATCAAGCGATTCAATTTGTAAAAATATGACCGTTTGAAGTTTAAACTTGTCAGATAGCGAACGCCGAGACCATTACTATCCTTGAAACGTCTTATAACAAGTCAGTAAAATACAATTTAATAAATTTTAAGTCTAATAAATTTAGATATGTAAGAAATTTAAAACTGGAAATCGCAAAAAAATCAAATTACAGTAATGTAGTGTATACACGAGTTTTGGATCCCGCGGAGCGCGTGTAATGGGACTTATGTCGGGAGAATTCTACAACTTAGAAGAAACATACACACTTTAAACTTTGTATACACATTTACAAGACATGAAATTTAGGTTTGCTTAATTTTCAGACCAAAAAACTAAAAATTGTCAATTTTAGGCAACTTTTCTCAAAAACCGTGTTTTTTGGTCGTCACTCAATGAACAGTTGTCAAAAAAATAGATAAAATATTTTTTCAGAACTTTTCGTAATGTAATCGTATTCTAGACACAATAGAGTACTCAAAAAAAAAGTTTTGAGCCATTGGGTGCATTTTTGGCATTTTTGTGCCACTTCAAACTTTAGAAAAAAAAAATGTTTTTTTTAAGGAAAAACATTTATTTAATTGTTTGATATCTTAGCCAATTATGGTCCGATGTAGGTTAAATTCACATGCATATAAGATTTCACATTTAAGAGTAAGCTTTGTAAGTGGCATTAAAAAAATTCATATAGTTTGGCCGTTATAGGCAAACAATGAAATTAGGACCGCGGTACACTTTGCCCTTCCGCCATATGCCCAATTTTGGGATTTCTCTTGCCCCCTTCTGGAAATCACTAGTCACATCCCTTAAGTTCAAAACGCATTTTTGTTTTTTCAAATATCCTAATTTTTACCAATGTTATAAAGAATTTAGTGTTTGAACATTTAACAAATTCAATTTTTCGACCTTCGTCGCCTCAAAATACTAAACAAATTTCAATCGTCCATACCGCGAGAACGGTGCATCGGATCAAAATTTCTCAAGAGACATAAAAATTAGCATTTTTCCTAAGCTTTCAAATGTCGTAAACTTCGTTTTAAAAATATTGATTTATTTCCGACATGCGCCTGCGCAAAATTGAAAAATTGACAAAATCCAAAATTTCGGCACTTTCGAAAAACTGCTACATTTTGTTTTGCCTTTTTTCGAAAAGATCACCTCAAAATACATAGAATCCATTTTGTTTCATCTAATTACAATTTAATGTAAGCTCAAAACCCGTAATTTAATTCGATTATAAATATATGTATAATTTACAAAGGGAAAGGACACTCCCAATATATTCCGATATTAGTTTATGCTGTCCACAAAATGTTTTTCTACCGAAGTAATTTTATTTTGTGTTAACAACAACAAAATATAGCGTCGGTATTTTACATAATTTAGTTAAATTTAATATAATTTATCGGAAAAAAATTAACAAAAATGCCATAAAAATGCTTATGGTTTAAAATTCCATAATGACCAAATAATTGATTTGATTTTATAATCACAAATCATTAAAATACTAATGACTCAAAACTACTATTGGTGGACTTGGTCACCTTCTTTTGTATACCGACGATAGGTAGTCATTTTTATTTTTGTTTAGTATTTTCTATCCCATTATACGTGTATAAAACGGTTTTATTAGTGTTATATGGATTAAACTTACCTAAAATGCGATCCTTTAATGACTTCTACGCTTAGTCTTCCAGTGGTTGCGTTATAACATAAACCAAGTAGTAATTCGGGAACTCCTCCATGCTGCATTGAATGTGCTGAGCTGGTACTATCAGATCTTGCTAAACTTAACAAGTCGCTTGTACAACCACCCAACTAAAAAAACAAAAATAAAATAATTTGCTCTCAACAATTAACTCGTTAATATTTTCGTTGTAGTTATAAGTAGTTATATACAGGGTGTTTCCAAACTTGGCGTCCAAATTTGAGAGCGATTGGCAGATTTCATTTTTCTAAAAAATTATAATAAACAAAATAGAGCCATTATTAAAAAAAAATCAAAAATCGGGTCCTACCCTGAGTGCGTAGCGCAATAGTCGCCTGATCGGTTACTCATCGGGACTTACAACTCAAAAACAGATGCGATTTGCAAATTTCTCCCTCCGCTCGGCCGGTATCGAAAGACGTATAGCCGATTGTTTTTCTAGTGCGTATTGCTCGAGGCGCTTGCATCGCTGTGCAGGACCGTACCTGTTTAAAATTTTTAATTAATTTTTAATTATTTTTATTTTAAATATTTTGGAAAAATGAAATCTACCAATCGCTCTCAAATTATGCAAACTACCACCCCTACAAATTTGGACGACAAGTTCGGAAACACCCTGTATATAGGTTTATTTTAATATTGTTTTTTTTTTAATTTTTCTTGACCTTAGTTATTAATATGTTTAATTTAATTTTGTTATTAAATACTTAAACCATTGTTGTATTCTTCCATGCAGGCCCGATGATGGCCCTTAGGCCGAAATCGGTACCTTCCATTTACTTTTGGTTCTAATTAAAAAAAATGTATATATTATGGTACTTGATTTTGAGTATTGTTATTTCAGTTTCTAATATAATATATCGTCTCTCTAATAAAAAAATGCTTATCTCCGTTTTGGATAATTTTACAGAAGAAAAGAAAAACCTTATTCTTAACAAATACATTATTACTGGTTTTTCTTTACATCTAACATACAGGGTGTTCCATCTCAAACGAGCCACCCCGTATATTTCTTATCCCATAGTAATTGAAAAAATTTCCCGAAACACATCGGATGATTTTCTTTGGGGGAAATCTTTTGACGTATATTTGAGGTTTGAACGAACAACCCCCTATGAGGGGGCGCTTCAACCCCTCAAAATTGAATAGGGAAGAGGGGTTGAGTGATACTTCATTTGTAAGGTCTTGGAAGCCTCTTTACAACTGTGTATGAAAAAAATCACATTCTTAAAAAAAATTAATTGCTCGTTCAAGCCTCAAATATACGTCAAAAGATGTCCCCCAAAGAAAATCATCCGACGTGTTTTGGGAATTTTTTCCAATACTATGGGATAAGAAATATACAGGGTGGCTCGTCTGAGATGGAACACCCTGTATATGTAATACAAAAAATTTCTTTTTGGCAATTGTCAAATCGGAAATAGGCAAATTTCTATTATTTCAATTTAAAATTAACCGGTTTAGTTGACACTCTGAAGTTTTGTCAGAAGGTGGCTTAGAGGTTGTTCTAATAGATAATAGCAAAATTCCATTTTTGCAAAAAAGTGGAGTTTTACAGCTTAAAATAATTATTGATTCAAATACTTGTCAAATACAGGGTTGGGCATAATTGGCGGAACACCCGATTTGTGGCTCAATTATGGATTGTATTGAAAATTAACCCAAATAAAGTTTTTTGTATATTTTATGTACTATTTAATGACGCTTGGGGATTTTCATTATCTGTCATATTTATCAAGATATGACGTCATCGGATGAAATTTTAAATGAATCACCCTATATTTATATTTTTTTTCAGATAGATCTTTTCTTTCTGAATCCATCAATATGGGGTTCGGGTGGTCTCTGATTTTCCTTATCATCAGAAAATAATAAAACAAAATGGTAAACGTTCTTTTAAATAATTAATGAATAACTATTCACAAAGTTGTCTGTGCCATCATAATGTACCAATATCAATTGTTTTGCCATGGTTTCACTTTTTGACATTAAAATGTAATATTGACATCTCGATATTAATCACTGAGTTTTATTAATACGATTATTGTACATCTCTGACAGAAATACCTACCAATGTTTTTGTGTTACTGTTTACTTGGTTTTTATAATATTATAAAAACTATTGTCACCTTTTATTAATCTGTAGATTTTAATTCATTCTGGTTTATGGAGACAATCAAACAAGTTGAGTTTAATTGCAAGTCAATTCATTTCACCCAAACTAGCCCAATACGCGAAAATAAATAACTCTTAGCATTTGATACTATTGAGAATTTTTATTAATTTAAACCATGGTTGAACTGAGTGAACGTGAAAGAATTACACTATTGATGATTATTGGGTTTGGAGACAGAAAGAGATCTCTGCAAGAAGCTTGTAATTTGTTCAATGAAACATTTCCTGACAGGATTTCCCCGATTTCTAAATCTACAGTATCCAGAAATTTGAGCAAGTTTAATGAAACAGGAAGTGTGAAAAATAATCCCAGATCTGGACGGAAGAAGACAGCCACTGATGAAGAAAATGCACTTAATGTGGTTCTAAGTGTACAGGAAGAACCAAAAACTTCAGTTCCAAAGCTTGCGTTAGACAATAATATGAGCGAGAGATCTGTAAGGAGGATTCTGAAAGTCAATAAATTTCATCCCTATAAAGTGCAATTACACCAGGAATTGAATGAAGATGACCCAGATAGGCGAATGCAATTCTGCCAGGTAATGATGGATGCCATTAATGGAAATAATATGTTGATGAACAGCATTGTTTTTTCCGACGAATCAACATTTTGTCTCAATGGATTTGTAAATAAACATAATTGCCGGTATTGGTCTGATCATAATTCTCACTGGATGGAAGAAGGTCACACCCAATATCCACAAAAGTTAAATGTTTGGGCTGGTATAGTTAGAGGAAGAATTATTGGACCATTCTTCATGAGAGGAACTCTGAACGGTGATCGTTATTTGCAACTACTTCAAGAGCAGATAGTTCCAGAGTTAGTTCGTTTATATCCAAATCACAGAAATCACTTACAACTTTCTGATGAAATTTGGTTCCAGCAAGATGGTGCTCCACCTCATTTCGATGCTAGAGTGAGGCAGTACCTGAACACAATATTTCCACAGAGATGGGTGGGTCGAAGAGGACATATTGAGTGGCCGGCACGGTCACCGGATTTAACCCCACTGGATTTTTTTCTTTGGGGCCATTTGAAATCAGTAGTTTATAAGGACCTGCCACATTCGCTGGAAGAATTGGAATACAAAATAAGAATTGCTGTTCAAGAAATAACACCTGAAGTTTATCAAAATGCCTTAAGATCATTTGTTGATAGACTAGGATATTGTCAGGCAGTTGGAGGCTTTCACTTCGAACACTTACTTTGAGAGATTTGTAATACTTCGATTGATAATAATTATTATTTTTTATTAAATAAATGTTTACTTTCTATTTTGTTATGAACTCGGAGACCCTCAAACCTTACATTAATGGATTCAGAAAGAAAAGATCTATCTGAAAAAAAATATAAATATAGGGTGATTCATTTAAAATTTCATCCGATGACGTCATATCTTGATAAATATGACAGATAATGAAAATCCCCAAGCGTCATTAAATAGTACATAAAATATACAAAAAACTTTATTTGGGTTAATTTTCAATACAATCCATAATTGAGCCACAAATCGGGTGTTCCGCCAATTATGCCCAACCCTGTATATTGTAAGTGTACAGTAGATAAGTATAAAACACATAATATTATTTAGTTCTCAATCCACCTTTTATGTCATTAATTTATTGCAATTTTCTTAAAGGTAGACACTCTCTGTTGTTCAATATTTTTTGGTTGACTGAAGTTACTGGATGGCAGGGCTAAAAATTGTAGCCTTGCTTCTGTGTAGACAGTGTGTAGAGGGTAGTCAGTGAGTCTGTTTATTATCTTAGCATGTTCTCGTGTTTTACGGCATTTTAATAACAAGGCGAATAATAGTGTAGAAAAAATTTTAGAAACTATTTTTTCTAGACTTTCGCTGGCTGAAAAATACCATATTAAATGTTTGGCAGCCAAAGGTTCAAAAGGTATACAAAACGATTTTCAAGGCAAGTGTATAATTAAAAAAATAGGATATGTGTTTTAATGAATTAGACAAGTATTTTAATGAATTATAAGATAAATGTAACAAAACTATTAATTGTACATAGTATAACATCGACAATTTTGACGAAAAAGTGGTAGAACAGAAGTTCTTAGGTTAGAAAGAATAAAAAGTATCGGATCACTTAAAGTGTTTTGGTCAGTTTTGATAATTTTTATATTTTAAGTGCCTTTAAAAAGTAGCTTTCCTCCACTATTACTGCACCCTCCAAGTGCATTAAGAAATATTTTTACCATTGTTGTATTGGACCGAGGTTCCAAATTTAACCAGAAATTATTTTCTAGTTCTAAATTGATGTTGGCAAAGCTGACAACTGATTCTCCTATCAGTCGTTCTCGGCGCATTCGTTCACAGCCATACAGTCGCAGTCTCACACCCATGGAGTTAACATCCTCTGTAAAAAAAATACCTACTGTCAGAATACCTTGTCGTATTTTAACATTTGTCAAAATATGGTATAAATACTCAAAAAAATCATAAATATTTTTTTTACACCCTATTTTCTGCACAGAATATTTAATTATATAGACCATTTCAGTCTATTTATCCGATAATTTCATATCCATACTAGAATATGAAGAACTAACCAGATCAAACCTACTGTTTTGCTTTGCAATAGTAAATGGCTTGTGCATGTGTAGGAGTGGAAAGGATGTGGTATCAATATTGTCAATTATAGGTCAATAACGCCCAACCAACCGGTGACTCGACCTATGACTAGGCAACGTTGATACTGACATTTTTTTCTGCATGTGCAAGCGGCATTTACTATTATTAACTCCTACACAAGCAAACCAGGACCGAAGATTTGATCTGTAAATGAAATACACCAATCATTTTTACTACTTTGCTAAGTATTCTTTTTTAACTTTAAAATTAGTGACATTTCTATCTAACTGTCATGCAGTATAAATTTTAGTTTTTAAGTTAAAATAATTATATATTAGTGATATTCGTTTATATTTGCAAAGAAACCGTACTAGGACCTCGTTGGAGTCAACGAAGAGGATCTGGACCACGGTATGGCGTAACTTTTCAATGTGAACTACCTTGGGTTTACTTCCCGCTGATAACTGAATGCGATAGATCGGGTCGTTGCTTTTCTTGAGGACGGTGTAGGGGCCTTTCCAGTTCCGTTTCAGTTTCTGACAAAGTCCTTTTCAGCGCTTGGAATTGTACAGCCATACTGGATTGGCTCTCTTAAAATGTGTCCCTGTAGCTTGCCTGTTGATTCTAGCGTTTGCTTTATCGCTGTTAACTTTCACACGTTCCCGATAAAATCCATATATCTTCTCTGTTCTTTTAACTTAAGTTCTGTATGTATGCGGGAGGTATACAACCCGCTTGTTCACCAGGAGGCTGTCCTTCAGGTTTATTAAAATTTATCAGTTACTGCAAGCGCTACGGTCACTTCTAATGATACTTCTGTTAAGAAGGTTAGTATGGTAGTGTCCAAAGGCTTTGAAAATAGCTTAAAGTTCTTTCCTAGTGAGGCAATAATTATTGTTAGCTTTCCCTAAGGTCTTACTAAAATACCCAATTACTTTCTCTTCCATCTCCTGTTCTTGTAATAGCACGGCGCCCACTGAGAGCACGGCGCGCCCACGCCGTGTTGGGATGCGTTGTAATCCAAAATGAATTTTCCTTTTTTCCAAGGATATACCATTCTAGCCATCCTAGCCAGGTTAATAGCTTTTTCAACTCGGTGATTAAGCTTTAGATTGGCATTTCTTATTCTGTTAAATACTTCACTCAAATTTATTAGATGAGGCGTTTTCTAATATTCATCGATGCCATCTAGATTTCATTAAAACTGTTATTTTATCCATCAATTTTTTTTAGATGAGTCATAATAGTATATTATGCAACGATCATGTAATAACCATTACATGAGAGTTGCATACGCTATTTTTTCTACACCCGATAAATAATCAAGACCTATAAATATTCTATTTATATTGGTATTGAACACAATAACAGTAATTACTCGTATTTCTATAAAAAATTCTACAAAATTGTAATTAATGGTATTACCTTAGGTACTGGTATTACCACAGATTTTTGGGGCAAAATATTTTGTACTGCATTTTCTCCTTTCTCCTATATGTGTGGAGGAGTGTTCTATATCGCTGATATCAGACATTTTAATATTATAATTATCGAAGTTTAGCTATCTACGAAAATTTAATACTTTTTGACAACTAAAACAATTACATAGGAATTTAGGACAAACGTCAAACATCATGCTTGATTGAAAAATTGTAGGTTTCTATTGATTAAAAATCTGTATCATAATGAAAAATCTGTATCATAATGGGTATCATTATGAAACGGATTATGGGCATATAAGTGCATTATTATAATACGGGTGTAGAAAAATTATATTCTTAAATTCAACCTAATTCTTAGATGGTTGTCACCAAATCCATCAACTCGATTATGTTGATGTACTGATGGATCACGTGACATAACCTTAAATGATTAATTAATATTAAACAGATAAGGAAATAGGAAAAGTTTGCTAAAAATTCCTAATAATATGAATGAAGAAACTGTTTTTTTTTAAACTTATCTATTAGGGTGTCCGTTATTTACCAATTTGATTTTTGAGTTTGCAGCGCCCCTAAAATTTTTAGTGTATGACCCAAAAAAAAAAATATCGAACCCATATAAGCCCTAAATATTGATGATAAACCGTGCCACAAAGGCAATTCATTTCACATTTAAATAACATGGGGTTTTAGTAATTTTTGCAATCAATTTTTTCGTTCCTCAGCCAGCTCGTACAAAGCTGCGGCAATCAATTAATTTTGTAGTAAATGGGCCCGTTCACTTTCATTTTTGAATGTGAATTGATTATATATTTATAAAGATATTAAACTCTTTTGTCTGGTGGTACTTTTCCCGTAAAGATATTTTTGCTAGAAGTAAGGGAATTCCCATAAAATTCTTTCAGTGACTCATTGCGTCAGAAAATCCCTAATTCCGTTCACGTCTCGTATCGGTTATGCTTAAAGACGGCGAGGTTGTCGGAAGTATCCCTAATATAGCATTTCTGCATTTATATGTAATTTAAATAGTAAAATTCCATTATTTTTCTAAAAATCATGAACTTATATTTTCAGATTTAAAGCTGGGAGCTTATTTTTTACTTTTTAATTAAAACAATTATTATTACTCAGGCTGAAAATTAACCAGACCATAATCAAAAAGTAGAAATTTGATTTGCAATATTTATCTGGTAAACGTGGCAACGTTGCATTTATTTCTAGAAGTGTGTGTAGACAATACTATTTAGAAGTACTTACAACGTTGTCACGTTTACCAGATACATTTTCTCAAATAAAATTTGGATCTGGTAATATTCAGCTTGAGTAATACTAATTGTTTTTATTAAAATTTAAAAAAGGTAAGCCTTCCAGCTTTATCTGAAAATATAAACACATTATTTTTAAAAAATAATATTTTTTTATCATTTAAATTTCTTTAATAAATGCAGAAGAGGAATGGTGGTGCAATGATACATCCGACAACCGCGCCCTTTTAACTATTAACCGATACAACACCTGAAGGGAATTAGGGGTTTTCTGACGCAATGAGTCACTGAAAGAATTTTATGGGAATTCCCTTACTTCTAGCAAAAATATTTTAACGGGAAAAGTACCACCAGACAAAAGAGTTTAATATCTTTATAAATATATAAATAATTCACATTCAAAAATGAAAGTGAACGGACCCATTTAGCGCTCTACAAAAAGTTCTTAGTAATTTTTTCGATAAATTGCTTGCATTGGTATGCAATATAAGTATAAAGTTGAACTAAAATAACTTATTAATTTTCTTTGTATTTTGACTGAAAAACTATAATTATTTTTTTTACAATTTATTCTTTATTGCAAAAATATCTAATTCAGCTATTTTGTTGAGTCTGTCAAAATTATTGAAAAGAGGAAAGTAGAATTTATTAAGAAGAAAGTCAAAATACAAAGAAAATTAATAAGTTATTTTTAACCGACTTCAAAAAAAGATATTTTTTTTATGTATGTTCGGCGATAATTCTTTAATACGGTGTCCGATTTCAATAATTCTTTTTTTGTTAGAAATGGGCTACTTCAGGGGTGGTCCCATATAAATTTGGTCAAAATCTAATAATTGGGTCCATGAGAAAATCCTCAAACTCTTCATTTTTTATGTATGTTTAGCGATAATGCTTTACCACCTTGTCCGATTTATATAATTCTTTTTTTGTTAGTAAGGTGGTACCTCAGGGGTGGTCCCATATAAATTTGGTTAAGATGTGGTGATGGCATCTGCACGTTTTTGAAGTCGGTTTTTTTTAATTTTTAATTTCTAATACTTGTTAGTTCAACTTTGAGCTTGAATAACTTTTAAGCAAGTGAATTTATCGAAAAATTTAGTAAGCATTTTTTGTAGAGCGTTAAATTTACTACAAAAATAATTGATTGCCGCAGCTTTGTATGACTGGCTGAGCAACGAAAAAATTGATTGCAAAAATTACAAAAACCCCATGTTATTTAAATGGGAAATGAATTGCCTTTATGGCACGGTTTATCATCAATATTAAGGGCTTATATGGGTTCGATATTTTTATTCGGCCATAAACTAAAAATTTTAGGGGCGCTGCAAACTCAAAAATCAAATTGGTAAATAACGGACACCCTACTACCTATAAGCGGACTAACTTTTAAAATAATATTGTTAGGTTAGATATACAGCAAGAAAATGAAGACAGGTACATATTTTTTCAATTATTGTATTGCCCGTACTTGTCTTTAGTTTTTATGCTTATCAAAAAGTCTTCCAATTGTTTCTTTTCATGAAATAAAAACAGTTTGACAATTAAGATTATAAAATCACAAATGTCAGTCGTTCTTAAATAATTTTCATCAGATAAAAATCAGGATGGCACCAGTCAGTAATTTATTGGTTACGTGATCCATCATCAGTCCATCATTTTGGAATATTAGAAAACGCCTATGTTCGTCAAAAGGTTTTGATATGATGAGTATGTCATCGAGGTATAATAGACAAGTCTTCCAGGTTAATCCTTTCAAAAGTATTTCCATTAGTCGTTCAAAGGTAGCTGGTGCATTACAGAGACCAACCGGAAGAACCTGGAATCGGTATAATCCGCTGCTAGTTGAAAAAGCTGTTTTGTCTCGATCGTCAGAGTGTAATTCGACCTGTCAGTATCCGCTCTTCAAGTCTAGAGTAGAAAACCATTTCGCACCTGATAGAGTGTTTAGTGTGTCGTCTATTCGGGGAAGTCGGTAGCTGTCTGATTTAATCTTCTATAGTCTACACAGAAACGGGAAGATCCGTCTTTCTTAGTTACTAGGACCACAGGTAAGCACCAGGGACCAGCGGCTTCTTCAATTATATTTGTATTCATCATGTCCTGTATCATATTTGCTACTTCTTTCCGTTTAGCAAATGGGAGTCTTCTAGATGCTTGCCTTATTGGCCTTGCATCGCCTGTATAAATTATATGCTGGACAAGACAGGTACGCCCCATCCCGTAGATTTTCCTGTTGGTATTGATACAGTTTTTAACTTTTCTTAGTTCTTCAGCTGTCCAGTACTAACTTTACCGTAAAGTTATCCCTGCCAGGAGTAATTTTGAAAAGGGATTGAGCGACAAATTATCTTTGTCCTCGACAAATTTACGAAAAAAAGCTACAATATTCAAAAATCCAAAATTCCAAAGCGGTAGTGCTAACTTCAAGGACGTCAAAATGCTACTAGGTACAAAACGTTTGCGCTAATAGCGCCTAACGTTAAATCACTTTTGCGAAATCTCTAATTGATAACAAACCGTTTCATATTCGCCCTGAGCCAAAAAGACATCGACCAGTAGTAACAATGTCATATTTCAGAATCGTCATTATTTATATCAGTCGTTATTGGTTATTTAAAAATACTTTTTTTTAATATTTCTGTCGTTAGAAATTGTATATAATTCGTAGAAAAAAAAAAGTAGGTATCTAATGCTAGTACAACTAAAAAGTCTTGTAATTCATTTTTTACATTTATATTATTCACTATAGTTTTATTCTATAAATATATTATAAGCAAAATTACAAAAAAAACAAGTATTTTAATTGAGAAACAAATCTAACCTGGATTAACTCTGTGAAGGACAAAACTCTCCATGTACTGAGGATTTTCACCTGATCGTATTTTGGTTTTGTGCTTTTGTTTTTTGCTGGGAAGAAGTATCAACCTCACCTAAAAAAAATGGTGGTTAAAAGATTTGTTGCTAGTAAAAGAGCATGTTATTGTATTATAGAGATATTAAAAAATATTAAATGAAGAAAGTTAAAATATTTGAGTGAATAACAGCCAAAGTGAGTAAACTATACTTTATCCACAAATATTATTTAATATCGACTATTTACTATTCATTCTTAACAGAATTCAAAAAATCTGATGTGTCCAACACATGACTTTCCTATCTAGTTATTACAGGCTTTTTCCGGTTATTTTGTACAACCTATTGCAGCACTTCTATAAATGTTTAGAGGATGAACTAAATATAATATACATTTTCCACATACATATAACTCGAAACATTTTTCTATAGATATTCATTGAAAACGAAAATACTGAAATACTTAAATTTAGTACTATTCCTCCAATTTCTCTATTACGGTCCATTTTAGAATAATCATGTAAAAAACAAAAATTATAGAGATTGATATCGAAAACAATTTTTAGTTTAACAATTTTCTTAAAAATTGGAATTTTGCTTATTCTGACCAATTTCTCGAATACGGACCATTTCAAGAAAATTTGGCATATAACAAAAATTATAGATAATAATATTATAAGTAATTTTTATTTAAACAATTTTCTTCTCCAAACATAAATAACAGATATATTTTATAAAATATAAAAACGGCCTCCCCTAAGGTACCCCCCCAGATGTTCCGACTTCGTCCAAAATCTTATCATTTCACGTTAAGCAGAAGTAATACTTAAGTTTAAAATTTAATGTTTTTTCTTTATCTGTTTTGGAGTTTTCTTCAAAATTCTAAATTTACACAATTTCTCAAATATCGGTCCATTTTAGAGAAATTATGTATGGAATAAAAATTATAGAGAATTATATTACAAACAACTTTTGTTTGAGCAATTTTTTTAAAAAAATATTTTTTTACATTTTGTCAAATTTCTCGAATACGGACCATTTTAGAAAAATTTTGTATAGAACAAAAATTATATATAATAATATAAGAAGTAACTTTTATTTGAAGAATTTTCTTCTCCAAACGTAAATAACAGATATATTCCATAAAATATAAAAATGGCCTCCCATAAAGTACCCCCCCCCCCCCAGATGTTCCGACTCTGCCCAAAGTCTAATCAGCTCATTGGACGCTGAAAGAAAGCTTAAGTTTAAAATTTGATGTTTTTCTGTGTATCGGTTCATGAGTTATGCGACACACAGACACACAGACACACACACACACACACACACACACACACACACACACACACACACACACACACACACACACACACACACACACACACACACACACACACACACACACACACACACACACGCACACGCACACGCACACGCACACACACACACACACACAGACACACACGCACGCACGAAAAATCGAAAAATCGAAAAATCGAAAAATCGAAAAATCGAAAAATCGAATAATCGAGAAATCGAAAAATCGAAAAATCGAAAAATCGAAAAATCGAAAAATCGAAAAATCGAAAAATCGAAAAATCGAAAAATCGAAAAATCGAAAAATCGAAAAATCGAAAAAGAAATTCCGTAACGAAAATAAACCTAACAGCCCCCACTCCGACCCGCACAGCGGTGCGGCTTTGAAAGCCGTCCATCGTCTAACGTCGTTTCAGTTCGGCAGACTTTGGCACGGTGTTTGTGTGCGTGCGACTAGACGTATGCGTGTAGACTAGCTGCTAATTGCTCATAACTGATTCTACCTCTTTTAGACACAATTTCGGAAAAATTGAATTTGAAAATAATAATCAACAAGAATCCACAACAAAATATGGGACCACCATTGACGCGGCATTTTCCAGATATTTAGAGGATATCAAGTCTCAAACTTATGTTTCTTATTTCAGTTACCATAAACCTATAGTTTCAATGATAAAAATTCCTGAATAAACTACATGTATTGTAAGATAATAAAAATATTTTAAACAATATTAACTTCTCATTTATTTAATAAAAGAAAAAATATTGTTTTCTTATCGGTCACCACGCTCAAAAAGTGTAACTTGAATTAATATCAAAGAAAAAACTTGACTTAATATCAAAGAAAAAAAAATACTGCATAAATAAAATAAATAATTATAATTGCATAAGTTGATAAAAAATGCTATGCAATAGCTTTACCGCGGCAGTCCCCGAGTACCACACGTATTTTTTTCTTTATCGTGTAACATATCGATGAAATGCTAATTACTGGATTATAGAAATTTTTTGATTAATTTAGTCTTCTTAGTGCGGTATTTAGGTAGCAATTTTTTGTTTGGAGGAAATTTTGAGAATTTGCTACTTTACTTATCGCCATGAAATATTAAACCTAATTCACTGATAATACAGCGGAGATAAAGCGCTTCCGGGCAGCTAATATACAAAGTTTGCTTCTATCTTTCTTCTCTCAAATTTTCTTTTCACTTTCTTAGTACTTTTTTTATTAATTAATTTAGGCATAGTTCCTGATCAAGGAAGCTACGCAACTAAATGCCGGTTAATTAATAGAAGAGGTACTCTACTTTTCTATATCTCTACTATCCTATTTCCTTTTAAGTTTTTTCATTATTTTATTATTTGGGGTTTTTTTTTTTTCATATAATCCACAGGGTTATATGGCGTATGGGATTTAAGTTAATATAATTTAAATTTTTGGCAACCATAGGTTGTGATTTTTTTTTTGCCATCATTGTTTAATGATTTTGAGTGACAAATTACATCTCATACATTTATAAGTTGGGACATTTATCAGGTGATCCATGTTTAATGGATTCACAGACATTCAAATTTAATTGATTCCTTTTCAAATTTATTTGTGAAACCACTTCATGGTTTTAAAGTAATTAGGAGTTTGATCATTAAAGGGTAATTTAAGTAAAGTGGGTTTATGTTTGCTAATGAATAGTAGCAATTTCTAAGTAATATTCTAAGTTTTGTATGATCCTTACCAACTAAGCTTATCTTTAGCATCAGCGCTATCAAACTTTTAAGTTTTAGTTAATTTTCTTAGTAAGTTAACCTTCTGTTAACTTAAATCGAAACCGAGCCGAGCTTACTTGTATTTAGTGTTGTACAGGTTACTTAAATTGCATATATAATTTTTACTTACCACAATTTATTTGTTTACTACATTTTCATACTTAATTTTATATATTTGGAACCTTCAGTTCAAATTGTCATTTAAGAATTGATTTTATGACTTAAGAACCTTCAGTTCAAATTAATTTGTTTATATTAGGAACCTTCTGTTCAAGATTAAATATTTTTTCTGCCAGAACCCTCAGTTCTGCCGTTTGTCAATTGTTTACAATAAATCCTAAATTAAATTTATCTGTTTTAATTTACCTGATATTCGTTTGAATTTGAACTTATCGTACCGTATCTTGACAGTGGTCACAGTATAGTTTTGTTTCCTATTTTGTTTTTCTCTGAAAAAGTATATTATTTCTTAATATAGTCAAAACAGGTGGCGCCTTGTTCAAATTCAGATACATCATAAAAGTTCCAAAATAAACAACTGAGAATTCACCCCTGAGTATAATAAATTTTACCATTTTCCTGTAGAGATAATTAAATCCTAATTAATTAAATATCGAGCTTAAATCACTATAAATAAATTTGTCTTCCAAACCAGACACTTCTAGGTAAAGGCCTTGCATTGGCACTCAATGGGCCTTAATTTTTTATTAACAAGCAACGAAACTGCTGCAATCTTTTCAGTCTCCAGCATCTTTCAATATTTTTCTCCATGGTCACTACAGACTATACTGAATGTAGTTCTTCAGAAACCACTTAGAATAACAGAAAGAAAACGTTTTCGCTCTTAAGGCTTCTTTGCTTTTTGAGTCGGTAAATTAAAAAAATTATTTTGTAGCTCTTCTAAGCTTCCGTAGATGAGCCACTCTAGCCTATAGTGATAAAAAGCAAATCTCATTATTCTATGAAAGTTACAAAATTTACCTGCGTGTGTGTGGGTTGACCGCGATCCCTGCTCGGAAAATCTCTGGCTTGCAACACGTGGACCGACATTTTCCGCATGGGTGCGTCGTACAGGAGGGCGATTTCCAAGTGGCCACACTTGCTTGTCGTCGTCGCATGACATTCTGGCTCGGAGCCCGATCCACCATCGCATGATAAAATCTCACCCCGGTCTTCTACTTCGGGGCTCATCAACACGATACACTAAAAGTTTTAAAAACATTTGTTAGATGACATTTTAAAAATCAAGCTCGAACGCTAAACAGAAATATCAGATTAGTTTTAAAAAATTAATATACGCTCACATTTTGTTCATGAACAATGACAATTAGAAAAGACTCAAACATTTTAAAAATGTGAAAAAGCAATTATAAACTTTCAGTATATGCGCTATATTTAATTTTTGTTTTCGTTCTCTTTTCTTTTTATTTTTATTTTTCGTTTCATGTTTACAAATTGATTGTCGGTTTTGCTTTCAGATTAATTGTAGATTATATTGTACTAAGATGTGACCAGTGACCAGACTACAATGTGTAAGTATCCGTCTAAGTTGTGATTCTACTTGGGTTCGAACATTAGTTTTTAAAATATCTAATATTTTATTGTTATTTAGTGGTGTTTATATTTTTATTTATGAACTATGTTCTGGTGTTAGAGTTTTTGTAATATCGGTAGTTTGATTGATTTGATTTAGATAAGCTACAGAACAAGGAAATATCTTGTAATGATTTCCATAAAATGTCAAATGAATTATAAATTATTGTGTAATTGGTTATTTTAAACATTTTAGGTTAGAATACATCCTCCGAGCCGAACTCGGATCACACTCTGTTTATACCCTGAAATATTTTGACATTTTAGCATGACTTGAGCGAGCTTATTGTGTTGCTTTTGACAAACAATTTTTACACATAAAAATTATTAGAAGAAAGGAACTGAGCCTAAACTAAAATTAAAAGCCAATGGTAAGATTTTAGAGTAATATTCTGCAATTATCATTTACTATTATTAAAATTAATTGCAGCTTTTCCACGCTACATTTAAAGGCAGATGACATAGTTTATTAAAAGCATTAAACACAACCTAGAGCAAGGAAAATGCTTTTTACTTAAAAAAGAAGGCTTCGCTACAGGAATTTTTTAGTAAAACATGAGGTTACAAATCATTTTAAAGAAAGTTCAGAAGAAATTTCTAATACATTTACGATAATATATTTGAGCAAAATGAATATAATAATAATTTTTTTTTTAACACGCTTTTATTCAAATAAGCTTAAAACAATAATAAATGGAAAATACTAGTATTATTGTGAAAAAGCGTCGGGCGCTCGATGTACGAGAAATATGGACAAAAGCGCTGCTCAATTTAGTGCCGAACATCAGTTAGCGAGAGTTTTTGCTGTATCCTGTACCGACGCCACTATCACCGTTATCCAGGTAGGAATCAATCATTATTATCCTTAGTTATTATCTTATTTCTTCTGTTTTTTTAGGAAGCACTGAGAACTTAGGTTCGTTTTCCTGGGCATCCGATAAACGCTTAATTAAATAGCCGGAGAGTGTTCATTTTTATTTTATTTATTTATTTTTTTTTTTTATTGGAAAACCACTATGAATTTTTCGCAAGTTTCGTAGGCGGAAAAATGCAAGTGTTTCACAATTTCCGAAAAACCCCGAGTCAACGTGATCAACTCAATTTTATTTGTTTTGGTTGTTTCCAGGTTGTTTCATTTCTTTTTAATTTGAACACCGCATGGGAATTCTCTGAAGTCTAAAGGGTCTATTTATACTCCCTTATTATTAGTATTTGTATTAGTATTATGATTAAGCATTAAACTGGACTAAATATTCAAAAAGGGTATTTATACTCGTTTTATAATTAACATTAATGCTTCTTTTTTAATAATTTTTGTTTCTAATAAGGTATAATTCTACAGTCAACAAAATGTTGGGTACTAAAGAAATGTGTAAGAGGCCAGTTGTGTTCTTAGAATATTTTTTTAAGATATTTGAGTTTTAAACGTGTTTTTATTAATATTTTTACTAGTTACTTTTATTTAAAAATATTATTATTCAAAAATAGATTTAATTAAGGACATTTTAACGGATTTACTTCTCAAATTTATAACAGATAAAAAGAAGCAGAAATTTGAGACAAATCTGACAGAAAAGAGGCTTTCCTGGGTGGATAGTCCTCGGATTAAGCCCATAACCACAATGAAGAAGAAGAAGAAGAAGAAGAAGAGAAGAAGAAGAAGAAGAAGAAGAAGAAGAAGAAGAAGAAGAAGAAGAAGAAAGAAGAAGAAGAAGAAGAAGAAGAAGAAGAAGAAGAAGAAGAGAAGAAGAAGAAGAAGAAGAAGAAGAAGAAGAAGAAGAAGAGAGAAAGAAGAAGAAGAAGAAGAAGAAGAAGAAAGAAGAAGAAGAAGAAGAAGAAGAAGAAGAAGAAGAAGAAGAAGAAGAAGGAAGGAAGAAGAAGAAGAAGAAGAAGAAGAAGAAGAAGAGAGAAGAAGAAGAAGAAGAAGAAGAGAAGAAGAAGAAGAAGAAGAAGAAGAAGAAGAAGAAGAAGAAAGAAGAAGAAGAAGAAGAAGAAGAAGGAAGAAGAAGAAGAAGGAAGAAGAAGAAGAAAAGAAGAAGAAGAAGAAGAAGGAAGAAGAAGAAGAAGAAGACAGAAAAGAGGCCTTTGCTTCCTCGTGGTGACATGTCATTTATCAACTTTAAACTCGGTAAACATTGCTGATAACAAAAATGTATACAGCGAATGATTTGTACCGAAATATTATCGTTTTCGAGCTTGTTGAAACAAAACTATAAACAACATCTGACAACATAATCAAATGTGTATTGTCAATTGTCATTATCCGTTGTCTATTAAAAACAATGGCCAAATATGTCACTGATTCATTTGATAGAAAAGAAGATATTTATGATTTAACATAAAAAGTTGAACCTGTCAATTATTAAGCATAAATATTAATGCTAATACTAATCATAAATCGAATATAAATGTCCCCATTACATTGTGAACGTTCAACTTAATCGCTTAACATAATTACTAATCGCAAATACTAATAATAAGGGAATATAAATAGACCCTAAGTAGTACCCAAGTGTTTCGCAGGGTTGTCTACCCCTACGCAACTTCTTAAAAAAACCGCGTCACTTCAAGTCAGGTCGACACTAACTTCACAACGTTTAATTTACGAAATTTATTTTATTTCGTTTACTCAACCCGGTCCACATGAAACGCCTTTATAAGCAGACTATAGTATTCGTGATTCCAACCTATAACCGTCAGGAAATTAGAATTTGAGGATAATAAAAATATCTTTAAAATTTCCGAATTCCGAATTACCTCGACAGCGTCATTTTACTAAAGCCACTAACGAATTATATACGTTTTCCCCCTTTTTTCTTGATTTGTTCCGTGGTAGGTGAATGAATAAGCGATAGGGCTAGAGTTGGGACAAACGAATTTCCAAAGGTTTTCTTGGAATCGTAATTGGAGGCCCGTTTATTTTGTGAGTAATTTTATTTATTTACAGCCGATTGAATATTATTATTGCTGCTTCATTTAACCTCTCTGGTGTCTTGGGAAAATGTGGCTTTATATATTTTTATTTTTATTTTTATTTTATACAATACCTTGTTGAGTTATTTATACTGGCGAAATAGCTTTTCCAGGGAACCACCGTTAGCACCAATTTATGCACATTTATTTGATTTATATGACTTTTTTTTTAAATAGTTGATAAGTTGAAAATTAATTTCCTATTATACAGGAGGTGTCGTTATTACCGTTTAAATAATTTATTTTTGACGTAATAATTATTATTGCTTAACTTTTGTGTTTAAACCATTTTGTGCGTTTGAATATCCACATCCGATGCATTTTTTACATCTCGAACGTTTGTTTATCCACATCGGACACATCTACTACATCTACATCTGCGTTTGTTTATCCGAGATGTACATGTCTAGAATAAATTTTTTACATCTCGATTTGAAATGACATGTTCGCTTCATGCCCGAAAGTAAGTGTTGTGTGAAGCTAAGTTTGTCAATTTATCCTTTGTTTATGCTAGAATGAATATAAAAGTGATTAGTTTGTTTAATTTTTGTTTAGATTTAAAATTTAGTTTGATTTGTAGTCTCAAAAGTCAAATTTAAAAAGTAAAACTTCTAACTTGACATTGTCATTTAATCACGTGACCAATAAAGTCTAGAGCGTTTGTTTATTACATCTACATTCAGATCTAATTCTCTATCGTGATAAAAAATTCACATCTCAGATGCATCCGATGTGGATATTCAAACGCGGAAATTAATTAGTTGAAAATTCATTTTCTATTATACAGGGAGTGCGGTTATTATCGTTTAATTTATTTCTTTTTGATTTAATAATCATTATTGTTCAATCGTTGTGATTAAACCATTAATTTAATTGTAAATTTATTCCCATTGTACGGGGAGTGCCGGTGGCACCGAATATAGTATCCCGATTTTTATAGAGTGTTTTATTTCATTCTAAAATATAATTTTGTTAATAATTTCTGTTTTTTATTTTATTAGCTGATCTCAACTGTTTTATTTCAGGGTACTGTAGGGTACAAGGTGTGACGTAGTGTAGAGTTTCATTCATTATATTTTTAGTGGTTACCCCATTAGCGGTGACCGCCTGGAAGTATTTTAACTCAACTGAGTCTACTTCGAGTAAACTCTAGTGTACTACAGGGTTGCAGGGCAAACTGCGTTAGCAAAACTGGCGTCAGAGCAACCCATGTTTTAATTTCATCATCTCAGCGCAAAACATGACTTCCTCCTTCACAGCAGGTGAAGCTTGAAGCCTGTCACAGTTTGTGAGGGAACGAATTATATGAATACCCAGAAATCCAGTCCCCTGGAGCCCGACAGCAACCTCCTAGTAAAACGTCATTTGAAAGTGGATTTGTATTGAAAATTTACCAAAAAAAAAAACTGTTACATATTGTAAAGTGTGATACTTCATTTGAAACTTAATTATATTCGTAATTTATGCGTGGCATACATTTATTGTTTTAGTTAACTGCGATTAAAGTATTTCTTATTTCTTAAGAGCAAACCAAACACCTCGAAAATTTCTAATTCATTCTTAGCCTTTAATTTTAGTCTGATTTTTGTGAAATTTTCAGGAAATAACAATCATAACAAAACTTAGGGTGGAGAAACCTTGATTTTTTTATCTTCGAAAAGTATTTATTTTGATAATTTTTAAAAGAAATTAAAAAAATGTATACGCGCTATTCTGTATTAAATCTATGAAATTTTGCTGCTTTTTGTTTTAATAAATATCTAGTAATTTTTAAATGGAAAGGCTTCCCACCATTTTTTAACTGTCTCTGTAGAGTGCTGCCTTATCGTTGCACAAATTTAAAGCTCTCAATATTCTCGAAAAACAACATCGCGAACTATTATCAGTGGCGTGCATATAAATATACAATTTTATATTAGAAAATCGTAACATTTTTTACTTTTCATGAGAAGTTCGGTTTGCTCTTAAACGATTTTTTAATTATTTAAGTTCATATTTCATTAAATTTTGTTATATTAGGCATTAAATTACTATTAAAATTAGCTTTCAAATGAAGCATAAATACTTTAAAATACGTAACAGATTTTATCCAGCTAGCGGGCGCTAAAATCAAAAGTAACCCAATGTCATTTTGCTTAATTCATCATATGTTCAAATGTTTAATGTTCAAATCTTGTGTTACATACTTGCTTTTTAAAAAAGACATGTCGGACTTTAGGGAGTTGGATTTCTGGATAAACATTTTATATGACAATCGTTCCCCTTGCCAAAAAAAAGTTGACTGTGTATATACAGGGTGTCCCGAAATTAGACGGTCATATTTTAACAGCATAATCTACATCCTAAAATTAGAGTAAAAGTTCATATATAAGGTCCAAAAACGTTTCTTTTTTCGAGATACAGGGTGAGTTAAAAGTGAAGTCCTGATGACACTCTTTTGTAAATATTTTTTAAACTTTTAAAGATAACTGAGTAAAATTTGGTACAAATGCTAACCTATCTACGCTCATATCTAATGGACTAAACCCCAATTTTTGATCATCTTCATAGGTGGGTAAATTAGGGGGGGCTTAGGGTAAAATTGCCCAAAGTTTTTTTTGTTTACAGTTTTTACCATTTTTGACTATAAAATTTGTAAAACCAATGTTTTCTTTACAATAAAGTTACTATTATTGCATCTCGCTAGGACGCACCATTTTGAAGAAAAAAAGCATTTGAAAATTTCATGATAAGTTATTCGAAAGTGTAAACAATAATTAGTAGGCCTGTGAAATCAGACATTTTATTTTTTTTTTACTTTGGAAAAACCGGTGACTAAAGAAATTTAAAAAAAATATATACAAAAATATGCCATCAGGACTTCAGTTGTAACACCCTGTATCTCGAAAACGAAACGTTTTTGGACCTATGTTTATATAAAACTTTTATTCCTATTTTAGGATGTAGATTACGCTGTTAAAATATGACCGTCTAATTTCGGGACACCCTGTATATATGTATATGGTCGCGCGATCGCCTGAGGCCATCCCTGTTCTTTGACCGCTGCTGATCTTTCACCTCGAAGAATCGAGAAAGTAACTAGAATGTTTCTTTACACGCAACCGACGCGTAGAGGAAGTATTTCACGAACGCATCGAGATTCTTCTACCTAGGATTGGTTTTTTTCTAGACCATTCCATTTTTGTATAAATAGCGCGACAATATTCTTGAGTAGTGCTTGAGTATAAATAATTAGTAATTGGTGTAAATAAATTATAAATAAACTGTTTTAAATAAAACAATCGTTGAAATATGAAACACAAAACAATAACTTGCTAAAAGAGAATAAATCTTAGTTAGCGTAGAAACAACTTACGTCTCTATTGGTGTTATTGTCCATTGAATCAATTTGTGCAGAAGTGTCGACCATTTGAATCTCTAATCCCTGATTGTCTATTTTTGTCTCTCGAAGATTAGTGGGTGTTCTGGAATATAAATTTATTAAAAACCAAAGTTGAATGATCTAAAACGAAAGATGATCACAAGCAATCTGCAAAGATCGCAGAGGCTTAGGCTGCTTCTATAGCCAGAGTATGAGTAAAGCTTAATTCTTTGGAAAGATTCTTTCCACGCTAGATTCTTCACTGCTATCAAATTCGTAAGAATGCGTAGATCAGTTTTAGTACATTACAATTTCTGAGCAGAAGCATTCATTGAATGGTTCGGTATAAAAAGCTATGGTATGCAGGCAATACACGCTTCTTTTCCCCTCTGTCCAGTCATAGAATAGAAATAGAAATATTCCTTTGTCAGTATTCCTTCTAATGCCAATATTCCATTTTCTTTTACCGAACGTTTTATTGATTACACTCCATTGTGGCCCGGGACTTAGGTCCAACTAACTAGCTAATTACCATGGCATTCCGAGGGTTATAAAATTCGAAACCAAATATTGTAGGAATATATTTTTGTTTCAAAGGTAGTGTTAACTACAACTATTTTATTTATGTAGCTTTTGTATCAAAATTAAAAAGAATATACCTGATGAGGTATCCATGTTGATAACATTTTTTTTTGCTAAACTTTCAACTCATGGATTATTGCTACACATGTTTGATTACTTGACATTTATAAAGAATTGATGTTACAGTTTCCTAGTGTCTAAAAAAAACTTACTTTTGCAGTGAATCGTTAATTTCTGCTGTGATCTTTGTAGCCATTATCAAATGTTTTTCTCCTAAAGAGCTGGTTGTAGAACTGCAGCAGGAGCTATTGCTACTAAGTCCAACTTTTCCTTTTTCAACTAGTGATATCAGATCTTGATTTGGACGAGGAGGATAATAGGGTCCCGTGGAGCTCATTGCTACAGCCATCGATCCCTGGCGGATTTTGTTCGAATGACACATTTCAGGCTCTGAATTCGATCCACCACCATCGAACGAATAAGCTTTCGCTGAAATAGAAAAGCATCTCTTAGAAACAAAACAACTGGTTCAGTTAAGAAATGTGACGACTTTATCTCGCATACACCATTAAGTGGAGCAGATCAACTAAAAAAAGTCTGTTTGTATATGGGAAACGCAATATTTCATAAATATATGGTACCAACTTCTGTAAACGTGTAATGATGTACCGATTTCAATAGCGCCGTACATTTATTTCATAATATAGGTATCACAACTTTAATTTCAAGATCGCATAATTAATAACTTTCCTTCTGGGAAACACCGTTAAAGAAAAGGATGCCCACAGCGAAAGCAGAGGTTGCCTTTTGATGCGGGTGGTAACGAATTGGGTATTGGGATAAACAGGAAAAACTTGTTCACAAGTCTAGTTTGTCTAGTTATATTAATAAATTAAAAAATAAGTTCATACTGATCATCTCACCGCACAAAAATTTAATGATAGTGATAAATGATAATCTTCCTTAGTTTTATAAAGAGAGGAGGAGGAGGAGGAGGAGAAGGAGGAGGAGGAGGAGGAGGAGGAGGAGAAAATAAAGTTGGTTTCCGGTTTCCCTTACAAATCTGACAAAACTACTAGAAAAGTGCCCCATTATTTGAGTTTTAGATATCCTACCTTAATTAGAAGACATTATATTAGGGAATCATAAAGAATTATAATTTTACGTAATGAATACGTTACTAGATTAGATGAAGCTTGACAAGATAGATTCATAGTGTAGTTATCTTGATGAGACTTGGTACGACACTCAAGATATTGTGAAAAAAGGATGGAGTGATCAATCTGTTAAATGTTCTGTGAATGCTCCTCCAAATATAGGAAAACGTATTATAATATTACATTCCGGTAATAAAAACGTTTTTTTGTGGAATTACCTGTTAATTATCAGCAAAGGATATTTTAAGTTGTTCAGCAGATTATAGCCAATATTATGACATCTACTTTGTTCGAGAAATGGTTTGGTGAACAATTAATTCCTAATTTGCCAAATGCTGTTATAGTAATGGATAATACCCCTTACCACTCTCGTCAAACTAGTGAATTTTCAAAAGCGAAAGCTCAAAAAGAGGTAGTTTCTACGTTTTTGGACAAAATGTGTGTATCATATCCACCTACAGATTAAAAAAAGGTTTTCTTTTAAATATTGAATCTTAAATCTCACACCTAGCTATGTTGTGGATTAAATGGCTACGGCATTTCTTCATACCGTAATACATTTACCACCGTACTAACGTACAATAAATGCCATAGAATTAATTTGGAGTAATAATTATGCTCCAATTGCGTTCTCCGTGTTACCAAAATTTAAAATAACCATCGAATATTTCCGGCTCATTCTTGAATTATAAACCTGAATGACACGTCAAGTGAAGATGATAGTTCTGATGTAACCACATATCTGTTGGTTCACGTTATTTTGGAAAGGAATACGGTATTGTTCTTTTTTCCTTTTCTAGGAATGTAACCTTGACGTGTTAAGAAGGCTTGCATGTTTCAATCACTTTAAAAATTAAAGCCAGACTAATATATTCCACAGTATTTTAAATTTTTTATGATAAGAGAATACTAATAACAGTTGTCTAAGCATTTTTCGTAGCATTTTGCATTGATTTTTATTATTCAATGTAATAATTTAATACTTCAAGTATTAAAATAGTAGATGAAATATTATAGTTTCATGGCGATTTTGATTACAAGTCGTGAATATTCATTTCGGATCAATTTCGTAAGTGTTGCCTTTAAAACTAAATCTAGTGATATTAATTATATAATCGAAAAAGGAAATTATTGGAATAATGACAATATTTAAATACGTATATTTCCTCTTTAAAGCACATACAACTAATAAGGTTCATCCCTGGGTCACCGTTAAACATGTTTTTATACGATTTCCTATGTTTTGCCGAAAGAGAAAGAATATCTTTACCTGCAACTATATGTGTTTTAACGGATTTTTTACTATACTTATGTTAGCGCAAGTGAATCAGATTTATGAGTGTTACGAAGCTAGCATTAACACTTAAATGGTTGGTAATTTTCCATCAGGAATTTATATTTTAAATGGATTGGCGCTCAAAATGCAGGCGTGCAAAATTGCGCAAATATGCTTTTTCCTTGAATTCGTAAAACCGTTAGATAATGTTTACTGTTGCTTTGCGGACAGAGCCGTCTTCAAAAAATATTTTTAAATTTGGTTATATAATGTACTTGATGAATAATAAAATATATTGTTATTCTTATGTTTATTATATATTATTTATACGGGGTGATTTATGTAGATTATAAATAGAGTAACTAGGGTATCTGTGAATTTTTTTTATCAATTTTGAACAATTATAATATTTTAAAAAATATATTGTTGATTCGTTTTTTAACAAATATATTGTTCTAAATTTATTTTAGTATTTTTATTGCTTAATATGGAAACAAGCCAACTGTAGGAGTATCTGTTCTTGCAACTATGGATAATAAGGAATATCAATAGAGAAAGGAAAAGAAGGGAAATTAGAAAATGAAAGTAAAAGAAAAGAGAGAAACAGAATCTATTTTCCCAATCTGTAAGTTATATCGCCATGCGTTACCGTTTTCAATGGTGGATGAGGTTTTCCAGGTATTCCTCACCTGTAAGTCAAATGGCGCCATCAATCATCTTTAAGTCAAATAATAATAATAATATGCGTCCCTTCCTTCCCCTACAAAAGCCACTCTGTCGGCTTCAGGGGTTGAAATTCACTCGTAAGGGGGTCAATTAGGAAGAGTATTATTATTATTATTATTAAATCGCATCAGCAATGTTCTGCTTTTGAAGTCTGTTAAGTAAAGGGTGCATTATATTATTATTATGAATATTATTAAAGTAAACTATAGTAGTTTGTACAACAAGAGTGGATATGGACAATCCACTCGAGTTGTGGAATTTATTTCTTCTACGACCTACTAACGAAAATGTACAAATTATTTTAGGTTATTAAAACAAAATTATGACTTTTACTTATTTATAAAATAAAATAAAAATGAAAAAAAGATTAAATTTTATTATTACCCGTCCGAGATTTGAAGGCAGACACCGTCTCCACATCTCCACCGTCATATTTAAGATTTTAGTTTTAATACTCGGAATGGGGGATGTTCAAAAATTTTGAATTTTTTTTTATAAATGATAGAGATGAAAATAAAGCTATATTATTTTTATTTTTTTTTATCTATTCATTTGCCAGAGTTATGAATTTTTTAAAATTTTTGACGTCACCGGGAATAGACCAATAGGAGCTAGCGCTACAACGTTGCCGGTTAGAAGGTTTACGAGAAGTGATGTACGTTCGTTTGTGTACTCCTTCTTACTTTTAGACTTCTAAAACATCGTTAAACAAATATCTTTTAAATATATAATATCAAATGTTTTTTGAAAGTATTGTTTCTGTTTAAACTTTTACCATATTTAAAGTTTCATTGTTTTAAAAGTCACTTAATAATTCAGAAAATGGCAAAACGGCAGCACTGTATGTCATCTGCCATAGTGTCTCGATCAATAATTTATTTGGAATTTGAGCGTTTATTTTGTACTTTTTATAAATAAATATTATGACTACGAAAAAGTGTTCTGTTCCAGAATGTGATAATGATTCACATTCATATTCAAAAATATTTACTAGTGTTCCTAGAAATTTGGAAAGAAGAAAATCAACCTTCTACTAGCGATGTTTCTCGTCAACTTTTTAATAAAAATACACCGGATATTCAAGATGTAGCAGCAATTTCTGCTAATTCTCTCCTTCAGGAAATTCAAAATGAGGCTACTATAAATTCTTAGGTGTATAAAGTGGGTATTTAAACAAACTGGTTCCTGGATCCCATATAATGGCAGATAGGGGGTTTAAGAATATTCAGTCATTACTTAAAAACATGGGATGCACTTTAGTAAGGCCACCTAGTGTATCACAGAATGAAAAAAGTGCTTCAGAAGATGTACAATTAAGTAAAAGAATAGCATCTCTAAGAATACATGTGGAAAGAGTTATAAGAAGGGTTAGGGAATTTCACATGTCAAAACCACATTCCTGTGTGAATTTTAAGCAAGTACATTTACTTAGTAATATGTGCATAATTGCTTGTGGTATTGTTAACTTACTACAAGAACCTATTTTGTAAGAGTAAATATTAATTTAATAAACTTTTTTTTATTTGTTTTTTAATTTAATTTACCTAATTATCACATTTCAGAGATTATAATGAAGGATTTTTAAACAGCCAATGTAATTTTTTATAAAATTTTAACTTTTCGAGCAAATCAAAGTGGATTGAGTACCTGTATATGCATAGATTTTTTTGGGACTAAAACTACCAAACCAATGGCACCTATTTACAGCAGTTTAAAATGAAACATTTTAACAAAAACAGCATATGTCACAGTGATAAATATTACAAACAACCAAGTTCAGTTGAATGTGGTAGCAAAGTCTATATATTCCAATAAGTCAGGTAACTACTACATGTGGTATCACTGGTGATAAATTTAAAAATATCACAATTCTTGCCATCTTTTTCAAAAAACCAGCAAGTGTGCCTTCTTATCAATCCTTGACGAAAATGACAACAGTGATAAATGTGAAAAAAAAAATTTAATGTTGCTATTCATTATTACGATAGTAAAACATGTTTGCAGTTCTGTTTATTTTTTCTGGAAATCTAAGTAAAAACAACCAATGTCAAAGGATTATAATTTGTTCTATGTCAAACCAAATATAGCACCAAATTAAAAATTGATCGTAGGTCAAGCTAAAGTAATACCTTTATTGATAGTAGCTTTAAAAAAGGAGAAAGAATAATATTGACTTAAGTTATTATTATTAACATTAGTGATTTTTAATAAAAACTCTTCAATTATTGTTTACATCTGTGAAAATTTTATTAATTAACCCTTTAATAAAAAATGAGAAAAATGAAGTAAAAGACAATTTATTTACAAATAAAAAATATATATACAAATCC